CGGAATTCGTGCAAGAGTAGGCCTTCGCAGCTCCGGCTGCCTCGACCACCCTTGCAGCCCCAGCTTCGTCCAGAAGGTCGTCTGGAAGGTCGTCCAGATAGTCATTCTGCTGTTTGGCCGTTTGGTCGATTTGCATATTACACTTTTATTATTATAGATAAAGAACATTACATATAATAGAACAAAACAGGGAACAGTAACTTTTTCATTTGTGAATCAGATTCTCAATCCTATAGCAGTGATTCTTAAAACGTGTGGGGGTGCCCTAGCTGGTTTGGCGCAGTGGATAGAGTGTCAACCTGCAGACAGAAAGGTCCTGCGTTTGATTCTGGTCAAGGGCACATGCCTGGGTTGCGAGAGCTCAATCCCTAGTGGGGGCTTGCAGGAAGCAGCCTATCAATGATTCTCTCTCATCATCGATGTTTCTCTCTCCCCCTCTCCCTTCCTCTCTAAAATCAATAAATGTATATTTAAAAAAACAAAAAAGTGCATGAGGAAAAGTAGGCATTTTGATGTGTTGGGGCAGAGGAGTTGGGATGGGGGATCAGATCAGAATCTACTCTGGGAGCTGTTTAAGGATATTCAGCATACTTATTGATTTCCTAATAAAAACTATAGAAAGTAAAGTTAGTCACAAACACCTTGGTGGAGAGAGATGATGCAGAAGAGATGTTGGAGATGTGTGTTAATAAATTTCAGTTTGGGGAACACTGATTTACAGGAAGCAGGAATATTGATGAAGACAAAAAAATTAATTCTGGGTCTTTGGGAAAGAGGAGCCTGGATTAGGTAATTGTAGGAACAGTAGAGCAATATAATCGAAGGCCTGGGAATTTAGGGGTGCAGGGACACATCTGCAAAGATAAATTTCCCCTTATTTTAGTTTTGCCCAAGACCAGAGGGCCAAGCTATTATTGACATGGATCTAGACCTCTTCATTTCTGATACTGGATGTGCCCACAGTGAATGTGAGACAGGGTACCTGGTATGTGGGGACACTGATCACGGTAGTACTTCATCTAATCTTCATTTTTGGGAGGGGGTGGTGCCATAGTGGGATGCCCTGGTCAGCTTCCATTGCCTTCACGTAAGGCCCACACTCCTTGGCCTCAATCTCAAGGCTCTCTGATTTGGCCAAATCTCCAGCCTCAGGGGTAATAGATTTCAGCTAGTCACTGCTACAGTAATTTCTCCCCAGGCATAGTGTGTGAATAGCTGGCTTGTAAAAGTGTGATTTTAAATTAGCGTACCATAAATTTAAAGGTCACAGCCTTTTCCCCCTAACTTTAACTATTTTTTTTTTTTTTTTTTACTGATTTTTAGAGTGAGAGGAAGGGAGAGGGATAGAGAGATAGAAACATCAATGAGAGAGAAACATCACCCATCAGCTGCCTCCTGCACACTCCCTGCTGGGGACGAGCCCACAACCTAGGCATGTGCCCTGACCTGGAATTGACCTTTAGGTGTGTGGGATAATGCTCAACCAACTGAGCCACACTGGTCAGGCGGGGTAGTCAGTTTTAAATGGACTATGTCGCCCTGGCTGGTTTGGCTCAGCGGATAGAGCGCTGGCCTGCGGACTCAAGGGTCCCAGGTTTGATTCCGATCAAGGGCATGTACCTGGGTTGTGGGCACATCCCCAGTGGGGGATGTGCAGGAGGCAGCTGAATCGATGTTTCTCTCTCATCGATGTTTCTAACTCGCTATCCCTCTCCCTCTCCCTTCCTCTCTGTAAAAAAATTAATAAAATATATATTTTTTTAAAAAATGGACTATGTCATCACTGTCTTGATGCTTTTCTGTTACACTGAAAAAATCAGAGACTTGGAGAACAGGAGGACTGGGACATATTGGTCCTTTTACTAATGGGAGCATGCTTTATTGCTGCATTCATTGTTGCTTAGCGACATTCTTACCATAATGTATTTGAGAGATTAATTTTGTAGGGAACTTCCTGTGAGATGTGAGAAAAGTGCGAGGTCAAAAAACACAGAGTTTCAGCAGAATAAGACATTTACTAAGCACTTATTGTGTGAAAGATGCTGGCTCTGCACGGGGGAGGGTGGCATGATGACCTAAGGGAGTCATGATTGAGTAATTTGGAGTCACCAAAGGTAAGAGCCCAAGAAATAGTTGTGAAGTGATAATAAGAACACCAGACTCTTTAAATTCATAGAAGATTGCTTATGAGGGACTGAAGGTGGGGAGTGGGGGGAAAAGGGGAGATGTTGGACAAAGGGTACAAAGTCGTGGTTATATAGGATGAATAACTTTACAGATCTGGTATGTAGGCATGAAGACTATAGCTAATAATACTGTATTGAACATTGGATACACGCTAAGAGAGTAGATTTCAAGTGTTCTCATCACACACAAAAGTAGCTGTAAGGAAATATGTTAATTAGCCTGAATGTAGTAATCATTTTACTATATATATGTATATATCAAAATAAATTTATGTATGTTGAATATATATAATTTTTATTAAAAATGAAAAGGTATGTAGACTTTAATAATAATGGAGAAAAATGTAATATTTTGACTTTTTAAAATAATATATAATTGGTAACTCTTACTATAATATGCGAGCAAAGACTTTAGAGGAATATTGCATAATAAAAATGGCTATTTGCTATGTTAAGGAAAAAAAAGAATACCAAACTATTAGGACAGTCCAGGTTCTTGACTTCTCAAGTTGCCATCTTGGTGATGTTGGGCAATCCATTTCACTTTACTGGCCCTTACTTCCTTGATTGAAAAGAAGGATAAAGAAAATGTGACATATATGACATAAATAATACACACATCACACATATACACAATATATACACAATATATGTGAGATATATGTATATAAATATATAATGAAATATTATTCAGCTACAAAGAAAGGAAATTATGCCATTTGTGGCAACATGGATGGGCCTTGAGGGCATTATGCTAAGTGAAATAAGTCAAACAGAGGAAGACAAATAATGTGTAATCTCACTTGTATGTGGAATCTTTAAAAAGGAACAAATTCATAGATACAGAGAACAGATTGGCAGTTGCCAAAGGTAGAGGTGGCAAGAGGTAGAGGGTGGGCAAAATGGGTGAAGATGGTCAAAAGGTACAAACTTCCAGTTATAAAATAGTTAAGTCCTAGGCATGTAATGTACAGCATGGTAATTATCATTAGTAATACTGTATTGGTTATTTGAAAGTCCCTAATAGAGTAGATCTTCAAATTTCTCATTATAAGAAAAAAATTGTGGCTATGTGGTTTAATGGATGTTAACTAGACTTATTGTGGTGATTTTACTCTCTATATATCAAATCATTATGTTGCACACCTGAAAATAATAAATGTTTTATATCAATTATATCTTAATAAAAATTCATTAATGGATGGATGGATAAATAAAATGTGCTATATCCATAATATCATTTGGCAATAAAAAGGAATGAAGTATTGATACATACTACAGGGTAGATATACATTGAATACATTATGTTAAGTCAGAGATTTTCAACCGGTGTGCTACAAGAATTTTTAAAACATGCAATACCTAACTATTTAGTCAGAGGCATGGACCTCTTTTCCCTTAGCTTAATCAAATTTTAAAAATGACAACAGCCAATACAACAAGAGTTGTCCAGAGTTAAAGAAATAAAAATTATACCTATGTCTGTCAGATTGTCAAAAAATACATTTTTTGGTGTGCCATAGAATTTTAGTAATTAGTTTATGTGTGTCATGAGATGAAAAAGGTTGAAAATCACTGTGCTAAGTGAAAGAAGCCAGTCACAAAAGACCTCATATTGTATGATTCCATTTGTATGAAATGTCCAGAAAAAAAAAAAGAAATAAAAGGAGGTATTGGGCTCAGTCTCTAAGTGCCCGGGCCCTTTCACTTCTGAAATGATATAAATTATTTACATAGGATTGTACACTTTAGCATGGCTTTTAGACCTTGAGGATCACAGATTCCAAGCCCTCATTTTAAAGATGAAACTGAGTTTCCTCCAGTGGTTGGCAAACTGCGGCTCTCGAGCCACATGCGGCTCTTTGGCCCCTTCAGTGTGGCTCTTCCACAAAATACCGGCTCTTCCACAAAATACCGACTTCTGCTCATGGGCCACAAAGTTTCAATCGCACTGTACGTGCGCGCCCGCACGTGGTATTTTGTGGAAGAGCCACACTGAAGGGGCCAAAGAGCCGCGTGTAGCTCGTGAGCCACAGTTTGCCGACCATGGCCTAGGACAGCTGTGGGCAAACTATGGCCCGCGGGCTGGATCCGGCCCGTTTGAAATGAATAAAACTGAAAAAAAAAAAAAGTCCGTACCCTTTTATGTAATGATGTTTACTTTGAATTTATATTAGTTCACACAAACACTCCATCCATGCTTTTGTTCCGGCCCTCTGGTCCAGTTTAAGAACCCAGTGTGGCCCTCGAGTCAAAAAGTTTGCCCACCCCTGGCCTAGGAGCTTGGCTGTATCCAAGGTCACAGACATAGTCATGGAAATGTCAGGTGTTTGGGGCGATTTCTTGGTGATTCTGAAATCTTGATAGTGTTTACATGATCTCTTATATTTGATTACACAGTGGCTTCTTCAGCTGTGACAAAACTTAGAGAAAGCTGTTTAGTTGAAAAGCTGCCTAACATTCTGAATTTGGGGAGTAATCAGTGTCCTCACATGAAGGAGGAATAGATAAGTTAACAAATTAAGAGTTCCATATTGAAGTTCCATAAAGGATGTCCAACTTGTCTTTTTCTGCTGATATTCTCAGAATGGCCAAGACCTCCAACACAGGGCCTACTCGAACATCTATGAAGCACTAAAACCCCACTCCTAGTAAAACTCTGTTTTCCTGAGACGGCCCTAAGTCAACATTGGCAGAAAAGAAAGGAATGCTGTGTTTCAGACGAGAGGATCAAGTCAGGGATTAGCTTTAAGTGATTTGCTGACATTTTTATTCCCGGCATTTGTAATGATTGTTTCCTACTTCCCTTTACAGGATAGCTAACGGCCAGGAGAAATAGAGTGGAAAATGCAAAACAACGAAATCATAAAACCTGCCAAATACTTCTCAGAATTGGAAAAGAGCATCCTGCTTGCTTTGGTCGAAAAGTACAAGTATGTGCTGGAATGTAAGAAAAGTGATGCGCGCACGATTGCCCTCAAGCAGCGGACCTGGCAGGCGCTGGCCCACGAGTACAACTCTCAGCCCAGCGTGTCCCTGCGGGATTTCAAACAGCTGAAGAAGTGCTGGGAGAACATCAAGGCTCGGACGAAAAAAATTATGGCCCATGAAAGGAGAGAGAAAGTGAAACGCAGCGGCAGCCCACTTCTGAGTAGCCACGTGCTGGGGAAGGAGAAGATCGCCAGCATGCTGCCCGAGCAGCTCTACTTCCTGCAGAGCCCTCCCGAGGAAGAGCCCGAGTACCACCCCGATGCCGCCGCCCAAGGTATGGGATGGCCCTGAGCTCGGCTTGCATGTTCTTGCTGGGTACCTGTTCGACATGTGGATTTTAAAATCCTGAATTCTAAGGGACTTGATAAAAAAAGAAACTTGAATAGCAAACCTGAGTTTCCCAATGCAAAGTCTCCCATGTATGTAGAACATTCAAGTCACATAGTCCATAAAAACAAAAGTACTTGTTTATATCCTTGTACTAGCTCTCTTACTGCTATTGTTACTTAAGGATAAGGAAAACAAAGGGGCTACATGAATATAGTTGTCATTAATGAAGTACTTTAGTTGCTCATCTTAACCTATCTCAGATATATTGAAGTGGATTTGTTCGAAGGTTTATTTCATTCATTCAATCTTTTTTTTTTTTTTCCCAAAGAAGTGCTTCTTGAGGACCGATAATGTGCAGAGCACTGCATGAAGTCATGCAAAAGGCCACATTAAAAGAGTGAACTATTTCAGACTTAATTCAAGTTGTGAGACTATTAGAGCAAATACCCATTTAGCATTCACCCAGATTAAAAAACAGCATTTCCACCCACTATTATATTGTGATCTACAGTTTTGGTTTGCGGCACTCCTGGTAACTTGAGGAATTCTGGGGAAAAATTATGTTCTTTTTAATATACTTTTGTTGAAAAGATAAACATGTTATATAGAGTTCTTCAGGAAGGAAAAGATGTCATATAATCAAGGAAGCTTTAAAAGGTTGGGATTAAGGGGCTATTGAAATGTCTCCAGGCAAGAAGAGGGTGAGAGAATGCAATAATTCCTGCCTCTTCTAAGATAAGAATGGCTAGTTTATATGAAGATCATTGTACTTTGCACTTAATAATTTCTGGGAAGATCAGAAGGCTGCTCATAGATGTGCTAAAGACACAGCAACAGGAACCTCTGATTTGTGGCTTGCAGGATGAGAAATTCACTTATTAGTGTCCCCAGAGTAGTTTGAGCTCTGAGGGACTAGTTAATTAAGAGTCAGAGTGTTATCTGTGTAGGGTGAAAAAGATAATAACCAAGTGAACTGAGTAACACATTTCCATTAGCACTTTTTTTCCCCCTGTGGGCAGATTATCCTGGGAACTTAAGTTACAATCAAAAGTTTGCTGGCTGCCCTAGCTGGTTTGGCTCAGTGGATAGAGTGTTGGCCTGCAGACTGAAGGGTCCCAGGTTAAATTCTGATCAAGGCCATATGCTTGGGTTGCGGGCTTGATCCCGTGTAGGGGACATGCAGGAGGCAGCTGATCAATGATTCTCTCTAATCATCGATGTTTCCATCCCTCTCCCTTCCTCTCTGAAATCAATAAAAAAATATTTTTAAAAAAGTCTGCTTGCTGATCATCTGACCAAGGTTAAGTCCAGGGAGCCAGTTGGGCAAGCACGGTGGTTAAAGACATCCGCATCATACGTCATTTTCCAGTTGTAGGAGCCCTGTGTCTGAATTTTGATTCTTGAGTCCTAAGCCATAGTACTTTCCAGCAAACAGTGTTTATGTAGATACCTGTCAGCTCTCTGTTTTGCCCCTTCTCACTGCTGCTTCTGTAGGGATGAGGCCCACCGCTACTAGACAGTGCCCTTGTTTTCGAGATGTTTGTAGCTTCAGCCAGCTACTCTCCATCTTGCTGACCGTGGAGCCCTTCTGTCCCTGTGAGGCAGTGAAGGGACTGGTGCTGGGATGGGAGGGAAGGAGGTGAATCAGCAGGGCTACTTTTCAAATTATTTATGTTCCCTGGGAGATGTTACCTAGGAAGGTGCTGGTGTGGACTGCTGTAGTTCACTTTGCAAATTTTTGATCTGTATTATTGTGTATTGATTTCAAGGCTTGTTCTAAGAGGACAGTCTCATTCCCCCCCCCCCCCCATTTTCAAATTTTAGGGTAGGATCTAGAACGTTCATAAGTGTTTTTCTCTTTCTTTTTGGAGGAAATGATATAATTCATGTATTCATAAACACAACTGATAAGTTTCCAGCAAGAAGGGGATAAATATGGACTCTCAGTGTCCTTCCTGTCATGACATTTGGTAGACACAAACTTGTAAAAGAGATTGATATTAAATTGGATGTTTGTACGTATATGGCACATGAAACTTCTCTTTTTGCTGGTGATTATTAAAGTATAGCCAAATGCTACCTGTTCCTGTCTCCAGGTCAAATTTGTAGTATGGCAGAGAACCATGGTGCTTTGTTAGTTGGGGAGTGTGTCCAAAGTAATCCGTTAACACAAGTAGATAAGGTACTAGAGCTCTTTCTATACATTAAAACAGCTTTGGTGTTACCCAACTCATTTTGCATTTAATTTACTTTTAGGAAATAAAAAGAAAGCTGAACTTGTCAATCATTCCTTCTGGGTCCTGGTGGGAAAAAGGTTGAAAATATGCAATAGGGTTTTGGCTCTCATTACATCATGTGTATTTTGACACATGGAGTGTGTGTGTGTGCACGTGTGCATATGTATGTGTTTTACTTTAGTTAGTATCTCTTACACTGTGCTGTCCAATACAATAGTTATAAGTCACATGAGGCTAGTAAACCCTTGAAATGGGGGTAGACCGAATTGAGACATGTTATAAATATACACCCTGTATCTTGAAGACTTAGTACCAAAAAAAAGATGTAAAATCTCTTACTAATAATTTTTATATCAATTACATGTTGAAATGATAATATTTTAGAAATGTGGGACTTAAAAATATTTTACTATAATTAGTTGCACCTCCTTTAATGTGGTATGAGAATTTAAAATCACATATGTAGCTTATATTATATTTCTATAGGGCAGCACTGTTCTAGCACATTGCAGAGTACCTGTTGCAGAATTAGGCACTCAGAGAATTGTGGGACTTTATTAGCCAGGATGGAGCCTTACAGTATTCCACTAGAGGCCTCCCTTCAACAATTTTTTGTGATCTTCATCACTGTACCCAGGATAGTATTAGCTTTGTCAATGACTTTCTTGAATGTACATCTGAATTTGAACTCAGTAGAGTTAAAATGTAAGTTTAACCCTTAGTGTATTTTTAAAAAACCCATATTCTCCCCTTAAATATGTTAAAACACTTTGTATTCTGTAGATTGATATTTGATAATTTGGCTTTGATACTTATCTTCCATTTTAAGATAAGTGAGATTATCTTTGGTGAACATGTTTGCAGAACAAACTAAGGGAAACCACAAAATATGCTGGAAGTGGTTAGGACGGTAGGATGACAAATGTCAAATATATTTAAGCAAACTAAGCTTTAAGATAGTACTTAGATATCTTAAGAGAACTTACAGTTAATTTCACATGCTGTTATTTATTATAAAGCTATGTTTAAATAATGCAGACATGGGTACTCAAAGCTGTAATTAACACAAAACATTCCTTAATGAATTCCACTATTACTCCAACTTTGTTCTTCTGGGGTGAGAACTCAAGTATAGGGTACTGGATTATATTGCCACTCATGGCACACCGGCATCACTGGTCTGGGAAAAGCCCACTTTTTGTGTTACTTATATGTTTATTCACCATTCAGGACTTTCCTTCTCTTCTCCTATTCCTTCATCATCTAATGTGTTCTCTCACATGTTCTTGAAAGCATGCATTGCTGTTTTGTGCACATATTTTTCCTCATTTAAATAGATTAGAAATTGTGCTATAGATACCATTTTCTTGCCATTTTTTCTCTTAGAATAATGTTTTTAAGATCCATTCCCATTGCAGCATGTCAGTCTGATTTGTTTTCTTAGTTGATGCATAATATTGCATATTGTGCATCTATCGCCTTTTATTTATTCATTCTCCCAGTCAGTCCTGTTTCCTTTGTTGTGTTGAGAAGAGCTGGTGTTTGGCCTGAACACAGTTTCCTTCCCATTCTTTTACTGCCATAGTAGGCTTTTCCTGCTGGTATTAAATTCACTCGAGTTGCCCAAATGAAAGAATGCTCCCTTGACTGTGTTCTCTGGTCCCAGGGAAGCCCTTAGGCCTTCATATCCATTTTGCACAAGATTGAGTTGTTTTCTGCTTCGGGTGGCTTTGTTTTACCTGGGAGAGAGATTACATGGTGTGTGTTTGCTGTTCCCAGGGTAGTCTTTTTCCAATTAAGAGAAGATTCTCCCCATCTGAACACTAGCTTTCATTCATGGGAGCTAATATTTGTGTGAGAGTTAATTAACTACTTCATCAGGCTTCTCTAGTTTTAGGCCCCCGCTCCAGCTAGAGTCTTCTTAAGAGGCCTGGCTTTCTTTTTTCTTTAAAATATGTATGTTAGTACACATTTAAACTAAATAAGGATTGTTGTAACATACAGTCATTTCTGTGCTCCCAGACATGAACATACTGTCTTCATGTTCACAGCCCTAGAGAGAGATTTGGAGATCAAAATTTGGAATAGACAACTACATTCTTAATAATAGATAGTTTTGTAGTGAATACAGTGCGGAGGCTGCATTTCAAGATACATAAGTGATCAGCTGAGCAAGTGAAGTAGTGAGAGGCTAGGTGTTGTGCTAGTTGAGCTTGGATTTTGGAATGGTAAAGCCATGGATTGGAATCCTGGTTCTTTCAACTAGCCACTTTGGATGTGGTGTTTGATGTTCTGTAATAATACCTCCTTCAGTGGGTTGTTGTAAGGATTAAATGAGGTAATTCCTGTAAAACACTAGCATAGTGCCTGAAAATAGTAGCTGCTATCATCATCATCATCATCATCTCCCTAAAGCCTAGAATCGTTGAGATAAAAATGAGCATTTAGATATTGGGAGAGAGGAGTGATTGTGAGGGCATAAACTCAGGAGTATCCTCTAGAATGAAATCAAAGAGAAAAGAGGCTAAAGGTACCAAAAAATATCTGTGTCCAGTCTTCAAAGAAGGTACTTTCAGATCTAAGACTAGAAAGGAAACGGATGAGGTAATTCACTTCACAGTTGATGCTCATATCTGAGGGACCTATTCTTAGTGTCCCATTGCTTTGTCCTGAGCCTCGGCTCTTTCCACCTAGCTGTGCTGTGTGGGAGCCAGTTCGTCCCCCACACATTTCTTACAGGCCCAGCAGTGTACGGGGCCCTGTGCTGGCTTCTTTATGAGGACGAATAAAAGCTAGTCTCTTTGTTCAAAGTATTCTAGTTAAAGCTTCAGCTTGAACAAGTGCTCTGCCAGACATAGGCTCAGGAGGCAGGGGCAGCATGAAGGAAGGACATCTGCTGGAGGCTGGGGCCATTGGACTTGGGAAAGATTCCTAGGGAGACATTTTCATTATCTCTGCATGATATAGAAGTATTCCTTTTATATATATATATGTATTTCAGAGAAGAAGGGAGAGGGAGAGAGAGATAGAAACATCAATGATGAGAGAGAAGCAGTGATTGGCTGCCTCCTGCATGCTCCCCATTGGGGATCAAGCCCGGACCCAGGCATGTGTGCTGACTGGGAATCAAACTGTCAGTGACCTCCTGGTTCATAGGTCGACGCTCAACCCATGAGCCACACCAGCCGGGCCAGAAGTACTCTTTTTAACCTTCTCTTTCAAATGTAAAATTTTTACCTTTTCTTTAACCTTAATTACGGACTAGTTATGCTTGTTACCCAACCCCTTGTAGTGAAATGATTTAAACAGTAGCCATTTTCCTTCTACTAACAGAGTATTGTGAGTTCCCCCACTAGCCATTAACATGTACAGTATCCTATCTTCTGGAATAATGGAGTGGACATAATAATGTAATCAACTCTTGTGAATAAATAGATAGTATTTTTCTCCAAGGAGACAATTCTCATTATTGAAAGTGTAAAACTTCCCAAGAAAGCCTTGGGAAGACTCCATGGGTTAGTGGTTTCCTTATTGAAACTCCCTGATTCATACTAATGTCATTGCCCTATAAAAATAGTGGTGTCAATGTGGCACCACCAAAAATGGCATAATTTTGTATCATATGCTTTTCCCCCCCTTTTGTTCAAGGCTTCAGACAGTAAATATTTACTAGGTACCCACTGTGTACCAGGTAAAGTCATTGGTCTCAATGATAAAAGACATGAATAAAGCATGGTCCCAAAATAATACTAGTACAGGGTATGCAAAACATAGACTTTATTCTTGTATTAGTCTTTAATAATTATTGTATTATTTTCTGTATGAACAACTGTAAACCTACTTTTGCCCCACCCCATATGTGTTAAGTGCTGTAACAGAAGAGTAGGTGTAGGGAAAGGAGAGAGCTCAGGGTTCTCAGAGCAAGTGGCATTGATCCTGAGGGAAGTAGGAGTTGAGGGGAGGTTGAAAAAGGGAGAATGGAGTAAGAGTGTGTGTTTGAGTGAGTTGGGGGCCGGGGTGGGGACAGATAATCCAACTTCAGGTTGAAGGAACAGTGAGTCAGAATAGTGAAGAAAAGCATGGCCTTTAAGAATGTGAGTAGTTTGTGGTAATTGAAGGGTGCACAGGATATTTTGAAGAGTAAGAAAAGAAGCTAAAGGAAGGTTAGAACCAGATTATAAGGGTTACTTAGGGTAGATTGAAAACAGCCAAAGAGAAGAACCTCAGGGGAGTATTAAAAGGTTAGAGGTGGGTGGAACAAGAGTCTGAGTCCCGAAAGGAGACTTGAGAAGAAGCAATCAGTGAGGAAGTTGTAGAAAATTTAGGAGAGGGTGATGGTTTAGAAGCTAATAGAGGGGAAAACATTTCAAAAAGTATGTCAAGTGCTAGGGAGAGGTTACCTAAGCAGGACATTGACAAGGGTCTTTGGATCTGAATATTGACCCCCAGGTGGCAGTGTTAGAGGTAACTGCCAGATATAGATGGAAGGAAGCTAAGCCAGGGAGGATAGGCTCATTTTGCAAGAAGGAACATTTATGAGATAACTACCCAGGGGAAAGGTAGTGACCAGGAAACAGAGCGAAGACACCCTCTTGGGCTTGGAACACATGCTCATGGCTGGATGAGGAATTGAGCAAAGGAGATCAGACTGAGGGAGAACTTAAGCTCAAAACCCACTGTTGGCCTTGTACTGTGGTTTTCTGCTCTTTCAGAGTTGTGCACACTTCAGTTTAGAACTTACATCAGCATAACAGGATCATCGATTCTTGATTAAGCTCAGTCTCTGACCCTGTTCCCATAGTCTGCAGTTCTAGAAATGACATGACGGAACACCTTATTATTACTTCTTAAGGGAAAATTGCTTTGGATTTATGGGTTTTTAAAAAGTCAGGTGTGGCAAGGGTACGTGTAGACATGCAGGCCAAAGCAGATGCTATTTCAGATACATCCTGTACTGGGGGACCCTGTCTTTGAAATAGGATGATTTGCTCTCTGCCTGAAAAATCTTTGAACATATGTTTTCTGCTACTGTTTTTCAGAATCATTTGCTGTTTCAAATAGAGAACTGTGCGATGATGAGAAAGAGTTCATACATTTTCCAGTATGTGAGGGGACCTCTCAACCTGAACCCTCGTGTTCAGCTGTCAGAATAACAGCCAATAAAAACTACAGGAGCAAAACCTCTCAGGAAGGTGCTTTAAAAAAGATGCATGAGGAAGAACACCATCAACAAATGTCCATCTTACAACTGCAGCTGATACAAATGAATGAGGTGCATGTGGCCAAAATCCAGCAGATAGAGCGAGAGTGTGAGATGGCAGAGGAGGAACACAGGATAAAAATGGAAGTTCTCAATAAAAAGAAGATGTATTGGGAAAGAAAACTACAAACTTTTACCAAGGAATGGCCTGTTTCCTCATTTAACCGGCCCTTTCCCAATTCACCCTAAGACTGTGAGGGTGGCTCCCTTGTGGTTTTGTTCTGTATTGGCAAAGAAAGTCTGGAACAAGAACTTGCGGTCAGTAACCTGTAACAGAGCTACAACTAGGAAACGTAGAGTGGTAGTAGTCACTTATTTAAGAATACGTTCAGGTAAACAGCTGCACCCTCTGTACCCCTTCCGTGGCCAAGAAGCTGTTATAGTCTTCAGAAAATTATCACTATGAGTGCTATCATTCTGAATGTAGTGTCTCTTAATTAGAATTCATACAAGAACCCTGTGTGAGTGTTGTATTTTTTTTTTAATCCAATGCAAGTGTGACTATAAAGGAGTGTGGCTGATTTTTTTTTTTTTTTTTTTTTTTTTTTTACCAGACAGTAGAACTTTTCTGTCCCAATGATGCCCTCCCATTGAACGTGGCTGTCCCAGGAGGCCCCACGTCTCTCCAAGTGGTAAAGCTGTCGCTCAGCACTTGCTAGAGGTCTTTAGGGAACCTCCATGAGAGCTGCAGCACCTCGTTCATTTTCCAGTCGTATCCTCTGAGTGTGGACTTTCTGATTTTATTTTATTGTATTACTTTATTTTATTTTTAAATATATTTTTATCGATTTCAGAGAGGAAGGGAGAGGGAGGGAGAGATAGAAACCCCACTGATGAGAGAGACTCATTGATTGGCTGCCTCCCGCAGGCCCCCACTGGGGATCAAGCCTGCAACTCAGGCATATGTCATGACTGGGAATCAAACCTTGACCTCCTGGTTCATAGGTCAACGCTCAACCACTGAGCCATGCCAGCTGGGTGACTTTCTAATTTTAAACAGCCCAGCATGTGGAAGGATATTTCCTGATGTGGCTCCTCTACTGCCTTTTACTTTTTTTTTTTTTGGCCTTTTTAAGGTCTTTCCCCAAAGAGGAGTTCAAATAATGTCGCCAACAAAGGGAGCACTGTTGGAACTAAGAATGTAGCTACTTTGAGGGAGAAATTTCGTTTAGATTTCTACATCCTGTCATGTTTGTTTTATTAAAAGAAAAGACTTGCAATTTTATAGTCACACTGTGTATGTTCTTTAAAGGTGCTGCCTCCTCCACTGTGTGCCAGGTTTGGCCTTCCCGCTGTAGTTTTCCCCGTATGTTGTACTATTGAGTTAATGGTTGCCGTTGTTTCTAATCTTTAGCCACCTTAGGATCCTTCCCTCAGCGTGCTCCTGGTGCTAGCTAATAGTGATGCTATATAGTTTACATTACACAGTTAGCATTGGGCTTTTAAGAACCCATTATCAACTTATTTGGAAATATGGATTGATAAATGGATATTTTGGTTGAGCTGTGATATGGCTTCTCCTGCATCCTAGTGTTAAAAACAGCCCTGAGAGTTGGGCACAGCAGTAGCTGGCAGAAGGAAAGTGACAGTTACGGCTGGTCAGCAACTTCTGAGAATGAGATTTCAAGGCCGTGGGTTGGGGAGGGAGAAATAGGTATGGCAAAGGCTGTAGAGGGAGTGCAGGACTAGGAGTCAGGGCCTGAATTCTGAGCTTGGTTCTGCCTCAAGTGCTCTGGGACCTTGGGTAACTCCTTTTAATCCTTGACTGTGGTCTTTCCACTCCATAAAGCAAGAGAGTTGGTCTAGATAATGTTCAGAATTTGCTACAACTCCTTGACTATAGGGTGGTCTGCACAGTGTTAGGTGGGTACTGCTAACATCATAATTGTCCCAGGGCATGGGTCAATAGTTTACTGCATTGGCTAAGCTTCCCTCCCTCATAATTTTGGAATTTGGGTCTTAGGGACTGTAAGTTCAGTAAGGTACACAAATACTTGTTATTTATGAGCTGCATGAAACAAATGGGTTTCAATTCATTTTATACATTATCATTTTTTTAAAAAAAATATTTTTATTGATTTCAAAGAGGAAGGGAGAGGGAGAGAGAGGAAAAAAAAAATCAATGATGAGAGGGAATCACTGATCGGCTGCCTCCTGCATGCCCCCTACTGGGGATCCAGCCTAAAACCCAGGCATGTGCCCTGACCGGGAATCGAACCATGGCCTCCTGGTTCATAGGTTGATGCTTAACCACTGAGCCATGCCAGCCAGACTATACATGATCATATTTTAAATCTCTTAAAGGAACTGGTTATTTAAAGGATCCCTGTGAAGACTAGTCTTCTTCAAAAGAAAGGATCTGTGTTCTTCACTTAATTTTTACAAAATGGACCTTATGGTGAAGAAGCATCTGGATAAAGACCCAAACTTCAATAGTTTACGGGAGACAGAACTTGACTTTCCATGTCCTCCCGCCCCCTCGGGAGCACAGGTGTGGAATGAGAAAATGCCTTTGCCTCACCTGTCCATCTGGAAATCTTGTTCATACGCAGGTTCTGCAGCTGGACCTGAGATTTTGCATTTCTTACAAGCTCCCAGGTTATGCCAAGTTCTACTTGTCTAGTCACCACCCTTCTCGGTAGCAAGGCTTTAGAGGACCCTAAGAAGATGTTTAGACCTATTCTAAAAAAAATTGGGGTTAGGTACATCTTTGTGTACACAGTGTGCTGGGTATTATTTGCTCAGAATTGACCCAAACAGCAATGTAGGACACAAGAAAATGCTCACACACGTAATGGAACTATAAAAGCATCCAACTAATTCCTCACTGAACAAATCAAGGATAATTGAGTCAGCAGCCAAAAGCCCCTTGTTCTACCATTAGTGGTATTTATGAGTTCCTAACAGTAGTTTTCAACCTTGACTGTGCATTAGAAACGGTATTTTATAAATAATTAATCCCACTGGGTCCTGGTACTGGAGGATTCTGATTCAGTTGACCTGGGTTGGGGCCTGGTCTGCTATAGTTTTTGGCAGCTTTTTAGGGGGCTATGATATATAATTGGGGATTGAGAAACATTGGAGTAGAGTTCATATCCTGTGAGGCCATGCAGAAGTAAGGAAATAATGCTCAGAGAAGAACCACCTGGCACCAGGCCCATAGCTAGTGAATGGCAAAGCAGAACCTCAGTCCCAGGTCTCTTGACTCAAAAAAAAAAAAAAGTCCCACCTACCTGCCCCTGCCCCATCCCTCAAAGCTATATAGTGGATTTGTTATATCTTGAGAGCCAGGTCACATTACATGGTACTTGTAGTGTCTCTATTCAAGAACAGGTCCATCCCAATTCATTTTACTTTTATTTTTTAAAAAATATTGTTATTGATTTCAGAGAGGAAGGGAGAGGGAGAGAGAAACAGAAACATCAATGATGAGAATCATGGATCGGCTACCTCCTACATGCCCCACATTGACTGGGAATCAAACCGTGACCTCCCCGTTCATAGGTTGTGCTCCAGGAGGCAGATTAGAAGACAGACTGCGGTTAGAGGAGACTGGGATCTGTGAGATGAGGCAAGAAGGTTTGGTCCTGATTAGGATGAGATGATAGGAGGACCCAGAGGAGGCTGTAGAGAAAATGAGGGAGACCAATGTGAAGGGCATTGCAGAAGTGAAATCAGACAGGATGGGCAGTTGATTGCTTTTGTTGGGGAAGAGGGATAGAGTTTAAAGCTAGATGCCTGAAAGAATGATGCTTGCCCTAGCTGGTTTGGCTCAGTGGCATCAGCCTGAGGACTGAAGGGTCCTGGATTCGATTCCAGTCAAGGGTACATGCCCAGGTTGCAGGCTTGATCTCCAGTAGGGGGCGTGCAGGAGGCAGCCAATTAATGATGCTCATCATTGATGTTTCTTTCTCCCTCTCCCTTCCTCTTTGAAATCAATAAAAATATATTTTAAAAAATAATGATGCTGCCTCTTGAAATAAAGGAAGAAAGGATGCATTTCTGGCTTTGACCCATCTTAAGAGAGACCCACACACAAACTAGTGCATTGCCTCAAACACTGGCATCTCCTCTCATTTCCTTGGCTGTCACTCTTTGCTCTGATTTCTGCCTCTTCAGCTGCCTGTTCATCTGACACGTTAGCCCCTCCCTGCTGGGTCCTTGTCACCCCACTCATTTGGTACTGCCTCTGCCATCATCACCTTCATTGCAGCTGGTGGTGTGTCAGTCCCCTTCTCTTATACTGACTTCATACTAGAAAGATCAGAAAACACAATTTCTTTACCTTGAGCTTTAGTTATTTTCTAGACAGATGGTATCTATAAATCTCATTTTAAAAAAATGTCCCATGTTGTATAAAGGAGCACTGGCTGGGAGGGGTTGTTATTCCCCGTGTATGCTTGTTGCAGCCCCTAAACGCATTGGCTTTCTTTTTTTTAAGAGAACAGAGGAAGAGGGGTGGTATGGTGAGAGAGTGCATCTGAGTTGTCGGCAGCCACCGCGGTGTCAGATCAATCACATCAGCACTTGGTCTGGACCAGGGGAAAGGAGTGGTTCTCCTGCCTCCTGGGAATGTCAGAAGGACCCGATAATTATATTTGGCAAAGCCAGGAAGAGTGGCTCTGTAATGTCATTGCTAAGAATTACCCTTTCGATAGCATTTCTGGATGTCTGGGCTTTTCAGATGGAATGACACTCCCTTTCCACGGTGGCTTCCCTTTCTGTTGGGCAGCTTCCCAGCTGGTCCTGTTCGTTCTTGCCCTCACGTTGAGATGTTTGTTTTTTCTTCTGTTTTCCTCCTTCCCAGCCCTGTTTCTCCAACCCCTCTGTCTGTACCTACAACGTTCCCACTTTCCCTGTTTTAGAGATGTAGTCGTGTGAAAATGCGTGTGAGGGAAGTACTTGCTTAAGGACAGCAGACAACATCTGGTGTCAGCGAGGTGAAGTATAGCCTTAAACTGGCCCAACTACCAATGACTTGCTTCCAGGCTGCACCCGCTGCTTCTGTGCCGGTGGTACTCAGAAGTCATGGGAGAGGTCGCCAAGGATCCGTGACTACAACACATTCTTTTCCTAATTGCGCCATATGTCATGCCCTTCAACACAACTTACTAATCTCTGCCTCAGTTTTTCCATCTGTGAAAGTGGTGTAATACTTATCTACCTCCCTTGAATGTTGTGAAGATTAGTCTGTTAGCAAAACACTTTTGAAATAAAGAGTGATGTAAAGCATTTTAACATTATTGTTGTCATTGTGAAATGGATGCCCTTCTGCAGAAATGCCGCCCTGTGGGGGAAGACCCCGTGCTGGAGTCCAGCCCCAGCGGTCCGGGGGTTCCCAAAGGTGTGGACGGAGTCCGCGAAGAATGTTTTACACAGAGACAGCGTTCAGAACTCTCTAGCTTTCCTTAGTCTCCGTGGATCTTCATGTGCCTGGCTGAGGCCACAGAGAAAGATCCCAAGGCAAGCTGAGCCTTTATTTTATAGTGAGAGGTAAACAAGGTAGTGGTTACCAAAGTTACACTGTTCTTGTGAGTTTCACTTGTTTACACTGTTCTTGTGAGTTTCACTTGTTTACACCATGGTTATACTTCCTGCACTTCCTCAGCCCATTAGCTTCCCAGATAAGATCTAGGGAGTGTTACAAGGTCAAGCCTAATTATGCTAAGAGGACTGTGCCCTCTAAGCTGGGAATTGTTTGTGACTTTGCCCACAGGTCAGTCCGAGGCTTAACCCTATATCAGCTCCCCACAGTCCCGGGTGTGCCATGGTTTAGGAACACCCAGTATAGAAAAATTCCATAACAGATACAAGAGTGTGATTATTTGTGAAAAATTTCAACATGGCAT